AATTCTAATGGAAAAGCTAACCTCAAAAGTCTAGAAGCAATGTTGAGCATTGTTTTGGAAGGCCAGAATTTCATTTTTTCTCATGCAAAGATGGGTAAGAGCACTGGAAAAGTTGTACCCTGAATTGGGAGCTTTCAGTGCAGGAAGGTAAGGTACATTTGAGTAAAACCCCATTTAATTAAATAAGGTAATAATTAATGGGCTTTCAAGAGTCCTGTTCAGCTCTCATCATCAAGAAAATTGGATGACTGAATTTATTATTATTTTTATTATTAATATAATTTTGACTAGGACACACAGTGGCTCTACTGGTACCAACTAGAATGTAATAACAATTTGTCCAGAATTCAATCAAAATTGGTTCAGATTGGACTTATCTCGCTGAAATAAGTGATCCTCTCATCCTGAGTGGTCTTGTGGGCAATGAAAACATTCTAATATTATAAAAGCCCAAGTCTGTCTGTCTGTAACACTTTATTTGCACTCTGACTGGCTGAAGGAAACAGCCAACTGGAGTGCTCCAAGCGTGGGGGAGTGCTGCCATGATTCCAAAACCGCGCCAACAACTAGACAGAGGGTAGGGGAGCTGCTAGCCTCAGCTCCCCAACCTCGCTCCCTGCAAGCAAACCAAGGACCGGACGAGGGTGGGGAAGCCGAGGCCAGCTCCCCCACCCCGCTCTCTGCAAGAGGCAGAACAAAGGCAGCATGGGGCGTTAGGTGGCAGCACTCCATCCCAGCCCCCACCCGTCGTCCTTTTTGATGGGCAATTGGCTAGTCTAGACAGATTGCTGTGATGTGCAACAAGCTGACAAACATAACACCATAAGGGAGAGTGGGGAGGAAGAATCGGAAACATATCCAAATTTCTTTGTTTACCTGAAGCACTGTGGTTCCAGGATCCACAAACACAGGCTGCCCATCAACAAACACCTCTATTTGGTTGCTGGCTGCTGCTGTTGCTGCTGTTCCACGCACTGAAAGTTAAGGAGAAAAAAAAAAGGTGGAGTCTGAATTACTGCTAGATGCAATGTTGTTGGTTTGTTCACTCTAGTTATGTTAACTTTTCTAGTCAGCCAAAAACCCATAACCTATGTCCAGAAGGCAAAGTTAGCTCAACTAAAATTATTCCTAATTAAGTTTCACCTTCACAACTGGCATTACTAAGTCTAAAGTGATTTTGGTTATATTCTGGTTCATGTTTTTAAATATACATTTCAATTCACACACCAAAACTCTAGGGATGTGATCACTATTTAAAAACATGCATTGGAATCATTACTATTAATAACTGTTACATAAAGAAAGTATTGAAATTTCTAGGAGAGGTATCCATCATAAGCTTCGGTGATGTGTCATTTTTTAAGCCGGAGGGAGAGGAAAACACTAAATAATAGCTGTTAACCATGTTTCAAAAGTACAGGTCAAGAGGTAGGAAGATCTTATTTCATTTAGCTTGCCAACAAACAAGAAAGGAGGAGCTCATTATAAACAAATTACAGGAAGCTACCATTTGTTTCACATTATTCATCTCATTATAGATAAATGTTCCCAGAGCCTGAATTAAATACTGAGAGTTGTTTTTACAGACAAAAATAGTATCAGCAACCATTGATCCTCTGAATCATGGCGTTTGGATGAGAGGACTGTCTAGTCAGGTGCCTAACGAATGCCGCTTCTGGCTGACTCGCCCAATTCAAAAGTGCTATGGCTTGTTACAAGTTTCACAGACCCACGTGTTGTCTGAGTTAGAGTCCGAGTTTGCAGCATGCTGCTTTCTTCTTTCTTGCTTCACTTCCATCTTCTGAATCAAAGTCAGTTCATGTTGAGCAGCACCCAGTGCCAGATGTTCCCTTCAGATGGGACAGGATTCTGTGTGCTCCTCGCAGCTTTCTACATTTATGCTGAATGACTTCATATCATTTTTGCAGACATGGCACTGCCATAGAGGGTGACCCCACTTTCTAGAGCAGTCTTGAATCTTGCTGTATGAAATATTTTTGAGGATAGTCTCCTCCCATTCTGACATAGCCAAGCCACAGAAACTGATGACTGTGAAGCTTAAGCTGAGCTGAGACTACTCACAAGTTAAACTACAAAATATTGATGACAGTTGCATAGTACAAGAGGATGTAAGTTTGCAGCTGGACCTTCCGAAAATAAATAATGAAGCATCACTTCCAGCTTATCTTACTATACCGATGATGATTTTAAGCAGGCTCTTATGCATCATATTACAGGTGCACCGATACATGGGTCTGATATTAGATCGGCACCAATCTAAAGAAAATTTAATATATTGGAAAATCGGCTATATCAGGCTGATAATTTGGTTGATAAATGGCCCACGCATGCGTGTGTCCACAGCGCAGCACAGGCAGCAGGGAGCACAGCCCGGGAGCATGGAGAGCTGTCTCCAGCTGGTAAGCCTAGTGTGGTGGAAGGGGAGGGAGGAGGGAAGGGGTGTAGGGGGGCAGATCAAGGCCCACCCCCCGCAGGGAGGGAGGCATAGGGCTGGAGCTGGAGCAGGGGCGGGGCAGATGTGGGACAGAGCTGCAGCTCATTTGCAGGCAACAGCTCTCGCCACTGTGCGCCACTTGTCTAGGAGCCACTCTCGTCCAGTGCTTGCCTGCTTGTCACGGGAGGGCATGGCTGGAGCATGTGCCCCCAGATCTGTGCGGGTTGGGCTGGGGCCAGGGCTGCACAAAGCTCTTCCCAGCAAGGTAGGGCTGTGCCAGTAGGGGGCTACAGGGCTAGGGCTGCAGCCACAAATTCACCATAGTCCCTTCCCAGTGCAGCCCCACCCTGCCAGGAAGAGCTTGGCACAGCCCCAGCCTGCCCCGCATAGATCATGGGGCACACGCCCCTCTCACCCCCCTGCCCTCCCAGACGAGTGGTAGGAGCAGTGGCGGGAGCTGCAGGACAAGCAGGCAAGCTGCCAGACC